TGGAATACAGTATATATCTGTTTTTTTAACCGATTTTCAATGATAATTGTAACCAAACTAACTGTAAAAATAAAGTTTTTTTATTAACCTGCTGGCCTCTTTTAACACATGAAATACTGTAACAACTGTGTTAATTTCTGACACCCCTTAGCTTGTCACAGATTATCAGAGATCTGTTAAAAATAGAGATATCCTAGTTAAAAGTATATCTATCTACTTGTGTTAAGCAGGCCTCTTCTTTTTTTGTTTTTAAAACCAGTCTTAAAACATGTCTTTTCTCTTTGGCTTTTGACACATAGTAAGATGTCGACTTTATTTGCTTGTTTTAATTTGTTACTTTGAATGCTTTTATTGTGTGCGTATTAATTGTACTTATGTGTTTTTTCTGTACAGCACTTTGGACAACATTGGTTGTTGTAAAGTGCTTAACAAATAAAGTTGGTATGGTATGGTAAATTTAGCTGTTTAAAAAAAGACCGTTGCAATTTAAATAATAAGCTACGAAAACCAATGCAAAAGACAAATCACAAACCTCTGTGCTCAGCAAATCATTTTCACGGCAATAATTATTTAAGCCAATCAGAATTGACACCTCTGCTACGTTGGTGACGCACGCAGAAAGAAGCAAGCGACAGGATGAAGACGTTGGCGCGCTGGTGAGCGGTCTATTACGCTGTTTTCGAGGAAGCAACACTTGTGAGAGAGGTAACGTCGAAAATATTTACTGACACATTCAAAAATTCAACACAATACTTTTTGTGGCCGTGACTGCGTGGCACGTGGCTGGCTAACTAAAAAAGTTAGTTAGCTTACTAAAGTTGACCACTGCTAGCAACAGCTTTCAAATATGCTGCGCATGTAAGCGCATTAACTGGCCCAAAACATCGTCAAAATTATTAGAAAAAGATAATTGTTTGGGTTAAAGTGATAAGTCAACGTTGCCTTTGGTTTCAAATGGTACACTAACAGCAGTCTCTAGCAAAAGCATCCACGATTCTAAAAAAAAAATGTCAGCAAATTTAGTGTAATTGATATACACATAATACAGCTAAAATGACATAGGAAAATACTCGTAGTGTGGTGCTAGATGGTCACATTGATTGTAAAGGTTTAAGAAACAAACACACTTTATTTCAAATTGTAAAGGCTTAACACTGAGTGACTGTTTCAGAAATGCCTAAATTACTGATTTTTTTGTGACTGAATCTGAGACTCAAGTAAATAAAGAAAATCGATGTTGCTGTGTTACAATTTATTGTAATGTAATTTTGCACAAACATTATGCAAACTATTTTTTTTTTTTTTTCCTCCAGTTTTTTGATTCCATACCAGGAATTGGAACAATAGCTATCTGGAACTTCTGAAACTGAGATCAGTCAGAAGCCTTCAAGCTCAAACATTAAGTAAGTTTGCAATATGGCAAGTGTTCTAAATGCTTTCACATGTCCTATATGTGGCATTTCTATGAAAACAGTGAAAGGGTATGTAAATCATCAAAAATTACACACAAATGAAGCACATGGTGAATATGCATGTTGTGTAATTGGGTGCAAATCAAAGTTTACCAAGTATAATTCCTTTAAAAGTCATATATTGCGCCACCATAGGCGGTCATCCGTGTCACAATGTGAAACCGTACAGGGTCCACTGAAATGTGAAAAGCCACATTGCCAGAAACAATGCATTGATCTGAAAGATCTTTTGGATCATTTAAAGTTGCATGTTTCAAAGAAAGAAGAGGTGAAGTGCCCATTTAAAGGCTGTGGCAAAGCCTTTTCATTGAGGTCCTCTTTTACTGCACACATTTCTAGAAATCATAAAAAAGCTGCATCTGTGCACGTGTCAGCTATGTATCTTGTTGATTCTGTGCCAAGCCAGTCTTTTGAGGTTGATCAAAGTCCGTCGGATGTAAGCATTGACGAGCCTGAGGATATCCTGGACACACCTGATATGAAAGGGCTATATATGAGAAATTTGTGTATGTTTTACATGAAGTTACAGGCCAAATACCTTGTACCTTCATCCACTATTCAGATGATTGTGGAACAAGTAGATAGTCTCAGTGATGTGTGTCACCAGTACACAACAAATCACCTTAAAGGTGTCCTGCAAGCTAATACGAGATTGACAGAGTCAGAAATAAAAGATGTTCTGGCAAATTTAAATGGTTCTAGCTTGCATGCATCCTGTAGCCCTGCACTCTCTTCTGAGTATTTGAGAAGGCAATATTTTCAGACAAACTTCTCTTATGTGCATCCTCAAACTATTAGTTTAGGCACTGATGATAATCGAAAGGAACAATTTGCTCAGTATATTCCAATAAAAGAGACTTTGCAGGCTTTGCTAAAAGACCCAATTGTGTGGAAAGAATGTACAAAGCATGAAGATGAAACTTCTGCACATGTTCTAAGTGATGTGAGAGATGGATCTGTCTACAAGAGTAATACACTGTTTAGGGAGTCGGGTATAAGTATAAAGCTTATACTGTATCAAGATGCCTTCGAGGTTGTTAATCCTCTTGGGTCAGCAAAAAAAAAATACAAGATCCTTGGGGTTTACTTTACACTGGCCAACCTTGACCCGTTTTATCGTTCCAGTGTTGAAAACTTGCAGCTTGTGCTCTTGTGTAGGGAAGAACACTTTAAATATTTTGGCCACGACAAAGTGTTCTCCACAATGCTGTCAGATATCAAGGAACTGGAGACAAATGGGCTTGTGATATCTGGGCATGTTGTTAAGGCATCAGTTTTTTGCATTGCTGGAGATAATTTGGGGTCTCACAATATTGGAGGTTTCACAGAAAACTTCAGTACCTCCACTTACTTCTGTAGATATTGCCTGGTAACTAGAAGTGAGTTCCATGATTTCCAAAAAGGTGCACCACCTCGAACAGTGCAAAACTACAATGAGGCAGTACAACAGATAAGAAGTGGTGCCCTGACAGAATTCAGGGGTTTGAAATTTGATTCGGTTTTCAATTCCCTCACTTACTTTCATGTCAGCCAGCCTGGCCTCCCACCTTGTATTGGACATGATGTGTTTGAAGGAGTTGTGGCATATGACTTGGCCATGTACATCAAGCACTTTGTGAAGGTAAAGAAATTCTTTACTTACAGTCAGCTAAACCGGAGAATCAGGCAGTTCAGCTATCAGGGATCTGATGCCACTTCTACTCCTTCAGAGGTTGTTGAAAAGGGAGTTAAAATAGGTGGCCAGGCAACAGAAAACTGGTCTCTCCTGAGGCTTCTTCCTATTGTAATAGGTGAAAAGATTGCCGAAACGGATGATCCGATATGGCAGCTGACAGTCCAGCTGAAAGAACTTGTGGAATTAATATGTGCCCCTAAAATATCTCACTCTCAAGTTGCTTTGCTCAATGTTCTCATTGTGGAGTATTTAGAAACAAGAAAGGAGATGTTTCCTGATCATAAACTCAAACCAAAGCACCATTACATGGGCCACTATCCTGCTTTGATTCTAAAGTTTGGCCCACTCATAAGATTGTGGACTATGAGATTCGAAAGCAAGCATTCTTATTTCAAAAGATGTGTGAGAAGAACACAGAATTTCAAAAATGTGTGCCAGACACTTGCAAATAACCACCAACTTCTGCAAACATATCTAAACTCAAGTTCTGTCTTTGCTCCTACTTTGCAAGTGAAACAATCCACCCCTTTCCATGCAGAGTTGTACAGTGATGCAGTACGCAGTGCAGTAGAAGCAAGCTTGCCTGATCAGTGTGCTCTTGAAGCATCTACTGAGATACAGTGGAAAGGCACACTATACAGAAAGGGATTTTTTCTTTGCATAGGTCCTGGCATGCCAACAGAGTTTGCACAAATCGAACTTATGCTAATAATGGATAAGAATGTGTACTTCCTTGTAACTCCTCATGGTTCACAGTATTTACCTGAGTTTGGACTGTATGAAATTCACACAGCATGTGGAGGCATGATGTGCATAAATGGAGAGCTGTTGTTGGATTACTATCCATTGCCTGCTTATGCTTTTTGTGGAACTCGAGTAATTTCTCTCAAACATAGCAAAGTAGATATTGAGTAGGAAATGTAATGCTGAGTTGTGACTGTGTGAGCACTAGGTAATATAAGGATGAGTACAGTAGACTGTGCAGGACTTGAGTATGGCTGAAGAGGTCCTTAAATGCTTGAAATTACATTTTAGAATTTAACTTTCAATAACAGAGTTCCATACATATTCTTGCGTAGTTAAAAACAGATAGTGATAAAAATGGTCACCACTTCACAAAGATGCAGAAACAAATCTACACACACATTAAGCTAATGTTTAAAGCTGATCATGGAATGGCTGCCTCTGAAGCTAAGAAATGAAGAATACATTACATTTTCCTTTTGGGCTGAATTGCACTTTGGATATTTATTTGGGCTAACACTGAATTACAATGTCTGACTCTCTCTTTTCTTAGTGATGGATGATGTAGACAGTGGTCTTTCTGACTTCATTTACTCTGTGCTGCCAAATTCAAGTTCAAATGACCTGCTGTTAGAGACTCTTCAGACCTTGGGTGTGGAAACCGTGGAAGATTTAAAATATGTCCAGGAGGAAGATCTTGTTAATACCCTCAGGCCAATTGAAGCTCGAAAATTGATTGCAAGATTTAAAGCTTTTTGTAAGTATACTTAATTGTAAGTTGTAAACACATAAAAAATATTATATCCTCACAACATAATGGATCAGTTGTATTTGAGTTCTGCAAAGCGATTTTGAAAGATTTTGCAGGCCTAAATCCTATTGTCTTCTGTCCAGCTGAAAAGGATGCCAAAGAGATTCCTGATCTGCCTACCAGAGCTGAGCCAGAAAGATGTATAAGCACACACACAGGAACAATGCCATGCAGAGACCATCCATCTACAAGTATGTGTGATGAAAATGTTTTGGCTTAATTAAAGCATATTTTCTAATTATTACTGTCTTTTGATCTGAGACAAACAAGCCTGAACAATACAATAAGGGATATTCTATTGTTCAGGCTTAGGGTTAGACTGTGATGTATCAATATTACAATTGAAAATGCTTTATCATTTAAATTCGATGTTAAGCCTGGTAGAATAGATTAGTGTTTCACATACAGTAGCTGTTTTTTGTTGTCGTTTTTTCACACTCCATCAAAAATGTACTCGAGTTGTGGCATGTCTTCTGGTCATAGGCCAGTAGTGAATGCTAAAATTTAATGAACTAATTTGAATTTTTTTTTTCTGCCCTCTCCAGATGAATACAGTGCAGCTCATTCCAACTCTCCACAGTCTTCCTCAAGCTCAAGTGAAGTCTCAACTCCTCATAGAAATACTCCAGTGGATAACAACTGGCACTTCAATTTTGAGATACCCTGGAGTAAAATGCCGTCAGAACTTACCAGAAAGCTCGAAAATAAAGAGCGGCCAACAGGACGTGAAAGACGTGAAATGATTCGCCTGATGTTAGGAGAGATTCTAACCATCTGCCCTACACCAGGGAAGAAACATCTATGTGAAATTGCTAGGAAGATTGTTTCAAGATATCCTCTGTCATTTAGAGATGTTATTGAAGATCAAGTTGTTGGTAGTGGTTATGACTCCCTTACCAAGCAGCTGCAGGCTAGACTTGACAACATGAAAAGAGGGAAAACCTCACTTTACCTGAAAAGACAGACGTTCAGTGCAAGTGAGGGAGAAGACCCACCTTCCAAGATAAGAAGAGTGGATACATATGGTTGCACAAATTGGCAACCAAAACGGCTGCCACCGGGTGAAACTGAGGAGACTCAGAAATGTGCACAAGAAGAATTAAAGAACATGCACAAAAACAAAAGCAAGAACGGCAAAAGTATTCAAGAAAAAATGCTGGCTACTTTCTACACTCAGAGAAGCGACATAAGTAGAATGGAAACCCCTGTTTTGGTAAAAGAGTGGCCATATCTGTTTGAGATGTGCGGGATAATGGTCCACTTCAAAGAGCTAACAGATATGGATGTTGACAGAGGAGCCATCTCAAGTAAATGTGAAAGAGTCATTTCATATCTCATGTCCCATGACAAGAAGAACAGCAAAATAGAGGGCATCTTAGAAGGCATTGAAAGTGCCAAAGCGAAGCATCTAGATCCTTATCTTCCTGGATGTGTGATGTTGCTTCTGAAACATTTCAGTGAAGATCAGGCCAAGATGTTTGTGATGGTTGATGAGACGTGTCTGCCATCTGAAGTTGATCAACTGCCCAGCACGCCTTGCATCGTTGTGTGTGGTATGTGGTATTTTATGTTTTATCCCATTTAAGCAAAAGGCATTTTTAAATTTATGAATGGGTTGATACAGGCATATTAAATCAGGGGCTGGCTGGAGATTTTAGTAAACTTAAGTATATCTTGTTAATGGGTTAAGCATTTTCTGCAATTAGACCTTCATCAGCGTAGCACTAGCATTATGGAACTAAATTAATTATTTTTTAAAAGTTGATTAAAGGGGTAGTCAAGCCGAAACAGAAAATTGGCATTTATACACCATAATGTCATTCCAAACTTGTCTGACTTGTTCATTTTTAGAACACCGATATTGCAGAAAGTTATCAGCTGTTTATGTCCATACGTTGATGGAACTTGTTGGTTACCATTCACCTTTAATGTAATCCACGTTACTCGTGTTTTAATTCAAGTCTTCTGAACAAATATGGTCACTTTATATGAGATTTATTAACTACAGTATCAAATCATAACACATTTTAGTGTACATCCACATCACATACAAAATGTCACATCTCTTTTAGCATAGAATTTCATTAATCACCATTGCCATAATGTATAGACAAATTAGGTTTCACTTTACGGCCTTATTTATTTTATATGTGATTTTAAATTGAGAGTTACAACTGCATTTTATATTTATAAACAGTAAAGTGATTGTATTGCTTCAGAAGACTTGGATTTAACCTCATGGGTCAAATGGATTCATGCTTTTATCTTTGTGTATCCTCAATGTTGGTTGCCTTTCATCTACATTGTTTGGATCAAAACAGCTGATAACTTTTAAATATCTTAATTTGTATTACACAGATAAACTGTCATACTGTTTTGAAAATACATTAGTTACTGTGAGAATTATTTTTTGGTGGACACCCTTAACTTTTTAACATAATGGAAAGGTAAAACCCAGAATAGTAAGGTTTTCTTGTGCTAATATGCAAGCCAAATATTGTGGTCTTTTGACAGTCGTGATGTTAGACTTTTCATTTAACCTAATGTTTTTGACTTTTCTTATTTTCCTATGTACTGTAGGGAGTTCTCCCCTCACAGCTGAAAACTTGATGATTGCTGTGGACCAGACCATCGTGAAAGATGGGGTTACAAATTGTGGTGATGCCCTTGTAATGATGTTCGTATCCTACTACTGCCTCAACATCAGTTATCCACTGGAACTTGGAGCAACTCTGGAGTTCATGCAGAGGTAAGACTTAAAGTTTAACCACAAAATGCATTTCCTGAAGAACAAAACGTGTGTATATATGGCCCAAAGATGGATAGATAAACAATTATCCATTTAGGAAATTAATGGACATGAAACCGGTAACAGAAGAAGGTCTAGATAAATTTTATTTGGTGGCAAGATCATTACAACATTTATTCAATGACAGGAGCAAAATGAGCAGACGCTGTGCATTTCTGGCATCTGTGGGAAGACAACTGGTATTGGTACATTATGAACTGTCTATTCTGATTTAATAGATCACAATTTTTTCCCTGTTGGACATTACATTCTCACCTTCCATCAATCTTGTGGTGCGACTATCACTGTGTCCTAACCAGACGCGATGCGATAAGATTCCAGCGACAAGCAATTTGCCTGTCCACACCAGACATGATTACAAGATGCAACAATATCAATCAAAAACCACAGCCAATCAGAACAGCGTGTGGGCGGGCTCCCGCGGCAAGTGCACGGCCCCAGAGATTAATTTAGTTAAAAACATAATAAATCAAAATGTATTATTTTACACATTACACCATGTTAAACTATTAAAAATACATACTGAGTTATTAAAACAATCTTTGTTATAGAATCAAGTTTGAACGTTCTTGTTTCCATTTGTGTAATTGTAAGACCTGAGGTAGTACGGCTACAAGGCTGGGAACAATAAATGATATTCAAAGTCACATTACATGCTTTTAACATTAAATAAAACACATAAACAGTACCTGAGATTATCATTGCCATACTTTGTGTTGTAGTTCCAGCCGCGATGTCGCGGAAAAATAGAAGCAGTTTCTAAAATAGAATCGTTGTGTGTCGCCGTCACGGCTGGTTAGGACATGGTGTAACACTTCCTTTATGATCTATGGAGATGTTGACACTGGCAGCAGATTTTAACACTGGTTGTTGGAACGCATCACAGCCATTGTAGGCACAGTTGCTTAATGGGAGATACTTGTTCACCCCAAAATAAAATTGTCATCGTTTACTTGTACTCATGTTGTTCTAAACCTGTATGAATTTCTTCTTTTGAACACAGAGATATTTTGAAGAATGTTTGTAACCAAACAGTTGATGGACCCCATTGACTTCCAAAGTATTTTTTTCCATACTATTGAAGTCAATGGGGTCCATCAACAGTTTGGTTACAAACAAATCTTCAAAGTATCTTTTGTGTTCAACAAAAGAAATAAATGTGTACAGGTTTGTAACAACTTAAAGTTGAGTAAATGATGACAACTTTATTTTGGGGTGAACTATACCTTTAGATATGTCTGTCACCTCTCTAGCTCAGTTTAAATACTTTTTATATGGCTCATCAGAATTGCTGATTATGAAAAATGTTTGTAGCACTATATTCAAGTGTATTTCTGTCTTCACAGATGCCTTTTCAGGATAAATCCAGATAGGGGGACCAAAGTGGAGAAGCAGCAATCTAAAAAACAGCAGTCCATAAATCCCAAGGTTCTTTCTTTGATTACAAACATTGCAGACTTTGAATGGCGTGAGTAGACATCTGACATGCCAGCTTCTTTTTGTTTCATACATTTCCATTTAGTTTATATACTATTCTGTAATGTGTAAAGGGTTCATTCTGCTTGTATTTTGTGGCTGACTGTTATCTTGAGTGAGTGCAGCGTTTTAACGTGTGTTTACACGTTTTAAATTGTGTACATTTCAAAGTACAGGGTTAAAAATAAACTCACAGTAAAGACCAGTAGTTTTAACCAGTGGGGAGAACCAGTTTCATAAAAAAATGCTTTGTTAAATGTTGATCACAGGCTGTATTTGCAGATAACAAATAAAACAAAATTAAGATTACTGTTGTTGTGTGTTTTATTATTAAAGCAAATCTTAGTTATTTTTGCAGTTTAAACTGCAAAAAAAAAGTTTAAGAACTGTTATAAAAACTGTGTGTGTGTATATCTATATATATTATCTGTACTTACTTTTTTATCATTCTTTAAATAATTTTTCTGTGTTTGAATATTTTAATGTATGTTAACATACATTTTAACAATGTTATTTTAACAATGTATGTTTCATACAGATTTCATGGTATTATAAGGATATTTTTGTGTAGAATAACAGTAATAAACCGTTTTTTACAGTATATGTTATCTGTACTTAACTTTTTTTAAAGACGATTTTCTGTGTTTTAGAGGTGTATGACTGTATTTTAACAATTAATTTATGTTAAAATTAAAAGATTTCATGGTTCTATAAGGATATAACAGTAGAATAACAGTAATAAACCGTAATTATAGGAAAAGAAATTACCGTTTTTATTACAGTTTTTTGCTGTTTTTTTTCCTGACAGTATTTTTCCATTTTTTAACAGACATTTTCTGGCGCCCCTGCTGCCAGAAAATTACCGTTATTTTACGTTTTTTTTTTTTACAGTGTATGTACCACAATACAATTGTTACCAAGGCAGATGTTAATTATAATTTGCTGAATCACGGAATTATAAAAAATCTATAGAATAAAAGAGTAAACAGTAAATAAATGTACTTACATGTCGAGGGTTGCATACTCTGCGTACTCGAGACACTCCCACAAAAACTGCACCAGCAGAGAATAATTTGCGCATTTATGTCCCCAGCGC